ATGTTGGTGTTCCTCTGTGGTACACCATTGTGGCAGTGGGAAAGATAGTGTAAACATGTGGAACTTACTTTGGTTATCTGGGACAATGATTATCTGCACTGAATAAGTAAACATTTAAATAAGCACTTTTCCAAATACGGCAATGTCTTAAATGGCTAAAAAATCACGAGATAAAAACATGCTTTTTTGACAAAGGTGATCTTAGCTTCATGTCACGCACCACCATAACTTTGAAATTCAAAGTGTGCTGGTTTCCAAACGAAGGGCACTATTGAGCTGGAAAGTTGTAAACAGATATAAATTTAGTGCCTCTTAAGTGCCTGATGAGGATAAAAACTTTTTGTTCTTTAGTTTTGGATTTAAGAATTTGATGATGTCGCATGGAAATGCTCCATAAATAAAAATTAAATAAATGTTGCAATGTTCATAATCTTTTATTAATGATGATAAATTACTTTGAAAAATAGCATAATTATAGACCCATCAACTTCTCTGTGTAAGTAAAGTTCAGGTGGGAGCTATCCTCCCCTGCTTAAAGTAGCAAAAACGTCTCTGGTTGTAGCAAATTTAGCAATATCCATAAACAAATGACCCTCTGAAATGACATGTAGCATTAAGAAAATACTGGTAAATCAAACAGTAACTGGGGCTACTACTTCCAGAGTTTGACTTAAAATTATGTTTTTATGTATAATTCCAACTTTCTAATTTACATGTAATTAATTTTTATCCTAGTGATTGGAGCTCTTTTAGGCACTCAGGATGGCCGCACAATAGAAATTTTCAATTCCTTTGAGCTTCAGTTTGATCTCTTTGATGATGGACAACTTGTGATTAACATGGCTTACTACAAAACAAAAGAGGAACAATGTAAGTTGATATACATGTAGGTTTTAAAGCCTTGCATTCTACCGTTGTCTGCCTCCCTGGCCCAGATGGAATATCAACCATCCTATTCTAAAGAAGGAACTATCAATGGCATAAGTCTGGCACAAGGTGCAGGTTGACTTAATCTTGAAACAAAATTCAGCACCAAAGCAAACAGTTAGAAATAATGAAATGAGAATTAATTGGAATAGAGTCTCATTTTAGTTGTTATAAGGGTGGTAAAAGTGGCATTTTGTGCCTGGCACAAGACAACACTTTTTAGGGTCCAGCAGTGAGCCATTTAACTTTCTAGGAATTTTATTTCAGCTTGTTTGCCGATTTTGGTTTGAAAGGTTTTAATATAAGACCAAAATAAAATTTATCACATGTTGCACTCAAGTAAACTTTTAATCATCTAATACGTTCTGTAATGTGGGCAGGGAAATGGATAATCACCTGCCACAGCACATGAACTTGGAAGGCCCAGTGGTTAGGGTGCTAGACCCTGGATCAAGTTGTCTGAGTTCAAGCCCTAGCTGGGGACATTGTGTTTAGTTCTTGGACAAGATACTTTATGCTTACACCGCTTCTCTATAGCTAGGTGTATAAATGGGTACCAGCAAATTTAATGCTAGGGGGGGGGGGGGTAACCCTATGGTGGACTAGCATCCCATCTAATAGGAAGTGCAAATACTCCTTGTCATTTCAATGCTTCAGAAACTAGAGATAAGCCTGATAGGCTGCTAAGCTCTAACACAGACTTCAGGTAGTATACAGGGATCAAAGAAAGTGCTGTCTGGTCATCTGTGACAAGTAGAATTTTCCTGCTGGGCAAATAACTTTTCATTCTCACTTTCCTGATGGGCAAGGGCTCAAGCAAGTCATCTGCCAACTAAATAAAAGAAAGTAATCCAAAACACTCCCAGGGAAAGCAAAATTTGAGAGCAGCTTGTCCAAAGGGCAAACTTGGATTCAAGATTTTCATTTCGAGCCTTGGTATAGCATATTGTTCATGGGGCTGGTGTTGTTTGCTGGCAATCCATCATGTTAGCAGAGATAAAGTTAACAGAACTATTGTTAACATTTTTTGTGTTCTTACCATGAGTGGCAACATTTTCTAGTTCATCAGGTGTTCAAAAATTTGGATTTTCTTGGCTGGTACACGACTGGATCAGGACCTACTGAAAATGATATTAGAGTACACAAACAGGTGAATAGAACGCGCAACATTAGTGTTCCAGAGTGGTGGATTGCCTGACATATTTTAGCCTTAACACCATGTATCTAAGTAAAACCACTGTTAAAAAATATTCTCGAAGACCAAGGTTTTTCTTCTGTCTCCTATGAAAGCTAGTTTAACTCAAAATATGTATAGTGAGTAAATAGTTTAGAGCAGTTTTCAATTGAATGTGGTAAAATCAAAACCAAGCCAAGTACTCACCAATTATACTACTCAGCCAATCTCAAACCGTAGTAAAAACAGAGTTTACCAAAACTAAATTAATTGCCTGATTACTGTCTTTTGACACTCAACTGAAAACTGCTCTTACTTTAATATAAAACCATTTTGTTAAGTGGCTATTTCATGGCTTTTTTGAAATAAATATATCTTTACTTGATGTCTTTTGCAGTAATTTGCCATATACTTCATATTGAAACTTAAGATGCTTTTTTCAGTGTATAAAACAGTCTTATAGAATGATTTCTGTCTCCTCAGATGTGTGAGATAAATGAAAGTCCATTATTTTTGAAACTCAATCCACTGGCCAAGACAAATGATGTAGGTTAATTTTTTTATATACATAATCTAAAAATGATCAATGAATGGTACATGAATCCTTTGAAAACACTCTTTTTCTCTGTTTTGAACTTGACCTTTTAAATTCATGTGAAATAATTATTAGAATTGTATATATTAATATTTCTCATTTCAGTTGCCAATCAGTTTATATGAGTCTGTGATTGACATTGTCGATGGAGCGGTAAGATTTTATTTTTATAGTTACACAGCTCAATGGGCTAAAAAAAGTCACAAAAAGTATCATAATTTTGAAAATCCTTTTCTTGGCATCTACAGCCCAACAGGCATTACATGGCAAAGAAAACTTATTTCTTAATATTTTTTCTTCTCTTTAAGCAAACAGATGATGAAAATAAAGAAAATCTAAACTCAGGAATGGAAATATTCTCTTTGTTTCACCAAATTCTGACATCTAGTACTAACATGATTGTACTGCTATCATAGGATGTACTAAAACTATGATATTTGCCAATATTTAAATTATCTACCAAAAAAAAATGCTGAGTTCAGCTGAAGTGAACAGAAGCCTGTATTTTTAACCATCTTAATCCAATATTTAAAAACTGCAGACATCTCTATCTCATGAAATATACATATTCTACTGTGAATTGCAGGCACGGATGTTATTTGTAGAGACGCATTACACCTTAGCGACAGAAGAGGCTGAAAGAATTGGAGTCGATCATGTGGCTAGATTATCAAATACAGGGACAATTGATGGCTCAACAGGTGTTCATGACTAGTTAAATTCAGACTGAAATAATAATTCTATTAACCATGCACTTAAGAATGTGAGCTGAAAATCCAACTGCCAATTTTGAATACCATATTCAATAGAAGGTTCTTGTCTGACGATAATTATCAAAGTTTTTATTCCAAAATTGAACCTCTGCTAAAAGGTATTTCCCATAAGCAGACACTTGTTGTAGTCCCAGCAATGTACCAAGGCAACATTTCTTAATCTTCCCTAAGTAGACACCTCTATTATGTGCACATGCAGCCTTCGGCTCTTTATACAGTGTAGTCTTTTGTAAGCAACAAAAAATGCAACACTAGGTACAGCAGAATGTCACGTAAATCTTGTAGCGCTGCAAATTCAATTACAGAACCTGAAGTTACAATGTGACTGATTTTTTCTCTTTGCTCTCTGGGTTATAGTGTCAGAACATCTCCTTGCTCAGTACAATGCAATAAAGATGCTTCATTCCAGGGTCAAGATGATTTTGGAGTATGCTAAAGCTGTGAAAAGTGGTGAGAATTCTTTTAATTTTTTTTGGCAAGATTTGCTCAAAGTGAAAGTCTCCACTTGAACAGATTGCCTTTAAATTGTTAAAAAGAGCGTTATACATTCTATTGAGCCAAAAATGTTAGAATTTGGGCTGAAATCTCCTTACCACTAGGAGAATTTACAGGAGAACCTAATTGTGAGGGATGGGAGGGGTGGGGGGACTGGAGCAATTGGAAGGAAATTCCATTTTGATAAAATGGTTTTCTGCGCTTTCCATTAGCATAAGCAGATTTTTGCAAATGCCGAGAGTCAAAGACTGACAGTCATTCTACTCAGTAGTTGGTTCATTTCCTCTGTTCTGATCAATTTGACCAATTGAAAAACATAGATAAACGAAACAGAGGAAATGTTATTTAGTAACTTCTTTTTTGTCTTGATCTATCTAGGGGAAGTCCCTTGCAACCACGAGATAATGCGCGATGCCTTGAGTCTGATTCAGAGGCTTCCAGTTATGAAGACTGATGTTTTCCGTGAGGACTTTTACAATGTAAGTTTTGTTCTTGTGCTAACAAGATTACATCGTGTACTCCAGATACTCTGCTATAAATTTAAATTTAATCTTGTAATTATTTTGACAGCAATGTAATGATGTTATGCTGATGTGCTACCTATCCACCATAACAAAGGGCGCCAACAGTTTAAATGAGGTATGCCGATCTCTAGCTAATATGATCCCTGTTCTTTGGAATTCAATCTAAACTAGGTTCTGTGACGGAGGTTTGGGGACTCCAAGGTCCTTAAAAAAAAGATGAAGGCAATTTTGGATAGACATGTCGATATTTATAGCTCCTCGTGAGTTGTAGGAATCTTTTTACAATACTGCCGCAATTCTGTAATCTGAGGTACATTATACTTTTATGCCAGAAATACGAAATAAAAAATGCAATGGCGCGCTTTTGATAAGCTTTCTAACTAACACCTTTGGATCTGAACATGAAACCAAATGAATGACAAAAAGTTGGAAACTAGTCCAATTTTTATTATTATTATTATTATTTTTTGAAATTCGGATTATGTTTTCAAACTAGTGTTACCAAAGATTTAAATTATATTTGAAGACTTATTTAATGTTGCTTTGTTCTTTTCTTTAGTTCATCAACAAGTTCAACGTGGTTTATGACAGGGGAATGGGTCGAAGAATGAGAGGAACCTTATTTTAGGATCTGAAATACATTATTTGTACAACCACAGCATTGTTCAGGAATCACGGACTTCAGTTTGCTCATGAGCCAACACGTGGCAAGAATAACAAAAAAGTGTACAGAACTATGTCAACAAAGCACTCCTTTTGTGCAGAAATGTTTGCCAAGAAAATGCAAACAAAATTTTCGTGATTTATTTAATAAAAAGTCAATGAATGCGATTTTGTAAAATTTCAATGGGATCCAAACCAACTGGAAATTATGAACTTAGTATATTCAAGTTTGGCGATAATTAAGTTCTCGCCATCCTTCCCCAAAGAGGATTCATCGGTTTCTTCTGCTACCTGTTTCGCACCCAATTGAGTTCGCACCCCTGAACTCATTATATACTTTCTATTTAGAGTTCGCCTTCACCTTCATTAAATTAAAGAACGAGAAATAAACACGTTTTGTGTGATTTTGTTTCATTACGAGCGCAAGATTGTCTTTTTTGCTCGGTAAGAGAAAGACAAAAAGAAAATATTTTAAGCACTTGAATTGACCACTAGTCGAGTTGATGTGGGTGCGAACTCACTTGTGTGTGAAATCTCCAGCTACCCATTCTTCGATGCCCGGTTGGGTACTTCCAGAAAAATTGGACGGGGGTGTGCGGCCCGCTTCCCAAAACCTTTTCCCTATTTAAGACTAAAATCTGTAATTTTCCCTACTCTATTTAAGACAAAAACGGCTAAAAAAAGCATACCCTTTGGAGCCGCACATACCTATATATCCCATACAAGGAAGAACCTCCCCCCCGCCCTGCTCCGGGCTTCGATACAACAGGATCTCGGTGAGCTTGTATCATTGATACTGATCCAGATCGACTCAAACGAACGCACCATTAATCTCTGTTAAGACACCCAATGTTGAACTATGACAATTATCAGATTATTAGCCCGCGTTGTAAGCGGGTTACAGATGAACGGAACCCGAAACACAATTATCTCTGTCAAATCTCCATTTAAGCCTAATTAGGGAATACCCGTATTTCCATTGACAGCTCGCTCAGTGAGTGAAATGATAGGACAAAAATTACACAATATGACAAATGATTGTAGCGAAGAGAGTAAATTGACAGCTAGCTCGATTTTTCCAGGTCACGTGAAATGAGGGAAATTTTGCGCCATACGTTAGTATCGTGGTTTGGGACCGACTGGGAAATTTTCTGGGCAATTCAGTCAGGTTGTGCATTGGTGGGCAATAGGCTGTGTAAGAATTTCTTTTAAAGTCAAACCCCATGGCTCCCCTTGAACAATTTCTTTTCCGGCAGTTTTTGCTGTGCAGGAATTTTGTTTTGGAAATTGCCCAAATCCCAACACTGACTCTTCCCTAAAAAATAACTATGGTCCGCCAATTCGGGACCGAGCAGTCGCAAAAGTGGGAATACAAAAAAAGTTCGAAAAACAGACAGAAATAGTATCGCACAGAAATAAAATCACTCAAGCGAGTAACTCGGGGAAAAAATATCACTGCACTGAAGGACAGATAAGGTATTTTTACTACCAAGAGACCCAAAAAATCAAGCCAAAAAAACTCTTCACCCTGAGAGCCATCGCCCGTCCCCCTCCCCGCTCCAAAAACCTTTTTCCTTCCCAGTTCCCACATCACATCATCGCTACATCGGCAGCACCAGAACGAGGCCGCGGAAAAAACCATTATGGCGGCCAAAGTGGGCGAAGGGTAGTGTTTATGCTCTTGTTTTCACATTGCTTTACCTGGGTATTCTTCGTGATCCTATCAGAAATCATGAAGAGGACTAATCCGGACTATTCAACCACTGTTGTGGAGGAAAAACCTTTGGAGACTCTAGACTATGGCACCCAACCCGTGTTAAAACTGAAACGGAGTCGACAGTCTCTTGAAGCTTCGAAAAGGCTCGCATTTGAACTATCTCAATATTCAACACAACAGGAAATCCTTCAAACTCTTGTTGATCTCGAAAAAGAGCTCCCTTTGGAGTCGTTAGAAGTGGCTGAGTTCGTCATCAGGACTTTGTGGGAACGGTTTTACGAGACAAAAGACGCTGTAGTTCGAGTGAAAGTTGTTTCATTGCTTGGAAGCGTGGCAAAATTTCCTGGAGTCAATATTCACGCGATTGCTGAGGACCTGATCAAGCTTTTGAATGCGGACCGAGAAAGCAGGAATATAGGTAACATTATTTGTCTCGTGCTTTGGTATTTCAGATTATCAATGTTATAGACATCGTTGTATTAATTTTTGTTGAATAAGGGTATGACTTTCCAAGGTTGCATTTCAGCTCTCCCCTCTAATTATTAGAGTTGGGGGCTAAGTTTTCATTTGAAAAAAAAAATATTTGTTTTATCAAGTTGTTGGTTGAAGATCACCATACAGTTTGATAACTTAGGCCAAGTTCTGACGTATGTTGTGCTTCTGAAGAGGTATAATCAAAATTTTACCCCTAAGAAAACAGATCAACGCACCAACACAATGCTTCCACAGAAAAAGAACCCATTTTTTACCCTCTTGTGATAAAGTCAGCTTTTTCCCAAACCCCATCAGAAATGAAATCATTATGATAAACTAATAAATGATGTTTACAGAGCAACCCCTCAGAAATGTCTTTTGTACTCCCATCAGGAAATCTCATTTAGGGAGGTTTGGGCAAAAATATGTTCACATATTTGTTTGTGGACAGATCTGTTATGAGAAATGAACAGTTTTCTGAGAACAAAGCTTGAGGAAAACTGTGAGCTTCAGGGAACAGATAATGTCCAGGGACAAAATTAATATCCTAGCATATTTTTAAAGTCAATGGGAGGCTATTGTGTTTATTATCAGTGTATTCAGCAAAATCACTCAAACACAATATTATTCCACAGCACAGCCTTGGGAACAACCCCAACTACATGTAGCTCTTCTTTTCAAAATCCTTTTAAACAATTTATGACATGACGTTTTTATTTGTTCCTTTTCAGAATCTCACAAAGTGTCTGCTCAGATATTTCATACTCTTTTGCTACTTGGCAAACTTTGTAATGACGAGGTTAGCTTCTATATACATTATAAAATAAATAACATAATTTATTTTTATGTTTAATTTTTAAGTCTTCACTGCATTTACAACACAATTAACTTTGTTTACCGGAATAATTCATATGAAACAAAACTTTTAGAAAAGTCTGTTTTTTGGCTTTCTCTCGTTAGGCAAAGATTGTTCACCAAATTGAGAAGATTGCTACGCAGGTATGTACTGTTGAACCCTTTTGAAAAATATTTGAACCTTTCAGATCTAAGTGTAGCACAACAACATCGGTGCCCCAACCCCACCCCCACTTGGAGAATTTATGGTACACAGGTTCCTGAGGTTCCTATTTCTCCCCAAATGCACACTTGCTTTGATGTGCTTTCACGAGTTTATTTTGCAAGTATAAACTGACCTTCAGGATAAGTAAAGACCAGGTGGAGGCTGGCCTCAGGGCTAATTAAAAGTTGTCCACATTGGTAGAGTTTGTACCAGATTCAATAGTGTTAAGTGACCCCCTCTCCCTGCCAGGTTTTTTTCCAGTTGCCCTGACTAACAGTTCATTGGTAGCCATTTATACTCCTGGATGTAGAGGCATTGTGAGAGAAAAGTGTCTTGTCCTGACAGCTAAGACAGGTACTTAATCTCAGTCAATACCCTGGATTCCAACAATCTAAATGTTAGGCCATCATGCTTTACCCCCCAACCCCATTGCCAGTATGGCTGGCTATTATTCATTTGTTTTTCTGCCAGTCATTAGACATTTCTTCTTTTATTTTTGTCTTGTTCAGCACCTCAAAGATCCCCACTCCTCAGTGCGTTGCCAGTGTCTTTGCTTGATTGGTCACCTTACTCAGGGATCAGAGAGTTCATCAATGAGTATGGAGCCAGGTTCACAAGGAGGGGTGCAAAACTTGTTGGCAAGCTTCTCAGAGGACAGTGACCCAAGAGTACGGACAAGTGCTTTGCAAGCTCTGGTGAGTGAAAAACAGATTTTTATTTTATTTTATGTTCTTAAAGGTTGTTTCATTTTCCAGTTAGACTGAGTGATGTTGGTGAATCAGTTCATTCCACTGAATTTGGAAAAGAAAACTTGCTAGACAGAATGCTAGTTTAGATAAGTCGTCTCAGTCATATCTTGTATGAACTATGTATTGCAAACAATATTAATACTTCAAGCCAGTGAATTACAAGCTTAAGCAAAAAGTAGCATGATTATTATTTCATGCGGTGGACATCCTGAGAGTGCCTGTATTCCTGTCCAGCTTCAATATTTTTTGTTTTGTTTACTTCTCTTGCTTTGCATTACTTTTCTCTCCTCTTCATTTTATGTGTTATTTAACTTGAAGAAATGAAAAACAATGTCATTTTCTGTGCTTTCTGTGTCTGTATCAAAACAATATGACTGACTTATAGGAGTTTCATGATAGTTTGTGCATCTTGAAAAGTTTATGCTAAATTGTTCAAGTTTGTCGTTTGTAATCCATGTTTATCTTCTCCACCCCTAACCATCCTTGTTCCTTTATGGTTTAATGTTATCTATTTGGTGTTTTTTGTATCTAAGTAAACTGCTATTTTCAGTTTCCTTCAATTTAAAGGTACAGTAATTCTGTACATGGCCAGAATAACTTAAAATACTGTGACTGAGCTCCTTTAAATATCTCATTGTAGCTCACACTGCATGCGAGAGGCCAGAAGCTAGACATGACAGTTTATGATCAGGCATCACTGGCATTGGATGATGACTATGAAGATGTGCGACTGGCAGCCATCAAGTTGGTTTGGGTGTTTAGTCAAGCAAACCCAGAGCGGTTAGTCAAAACTCATTTCTGGTTTCACTGAATAGCAAATTGAGGTCCACAGCAAATGCAGTCAAAGAAAAGCTGGTAGACTTCAATAAGTGCACAAAGTCTCTTCAGTTGGTCATTTTTTTAACAGCACTTGTACCCAGAGATAAATGCCAAAACCAGATATCAGTTGACATTGAGGGTGCTATAGTGAGGGTGTGTGGAGAGAGCTGTTTATACCATGCTGTAGAAAATACAGCCAATCAGAATACAGGGAAGCCGATGTATTAAGGCAGCTTGAGAATGAATATGTTTCGGGTTAATGTTTTAGATGTGCCATTGTCGACGTGAAGATTTTGATCATGAGTTCACTGTTTACTGATTTTGAGTTTACTGACCGTGATTTTGATCGTGAGTTCACTGTTTACTGATTTTGAGTTTACTGACCGTGATTTTGATCGTGAGTTCACTGTTTACTGATTTTGAGTTTACTGACCGTGATTTTGATCGTGAGTTCGCTGTTTACTGATTTTGAGTTTACTGACCGTGATTTTGATCGTGAGTTCACTGTTTACTGATTTTGAGTTTACTGACCGTGATTTTGATCGTGAGTTTACTGCTCTGTCGTAGAGTTGTTAAATTACCAACATCAGATGACGTCCGGCTTGTGGACGATGCTTTTATCAAGATCTGCCACATGGTCAATGACTTGTCTATGAACGTGCGCAGAGAGGCCACAGGGCTTCTAGGCTCACTCCATCTTGTCAGTCCGAAGTTTCTGGAGCAGACATTGGACAAGAAGCTTATGTCTCATCTGAAGGCAAGTTGTTAAGGAGGCAGCGTGGCCAAGTGGTCAGTGCGTCAGACTTGTGATTCAGCAGTCTCGGGTTCGAGTTCCGATCTCACCTCTAACTGGATTTGTTTCATGTAACCCCAGGTTCGAATTTTTGGCCATGCTTGTAAATAGCCAACTGGTTTCAATTTGAATTATTTGCTTCAAGCTGTTTGCTCGTCCCCATTAGCCTATGTGCTTTAAACACTGCCAAGGGTAAATAAAGGTTACTTAAAAGAAATGAGACGTATTTTTATTTTTATTTATTTTATTATTCGAGGCTGGACGCTTATTAACTTTTACTGCCTTTAGGATCGACGCTAATTCGAGGTTGGACGCTTATTCGAATAAATACGGTAATTGAAGACTGATACAGTAACTAGGCATTTTATTAGCGAAGTCCAGAAGTAAACTGGTACAAATAATTCTTGATGGAAAATAACCAGTTGTATGTTTTTATTCCCGCTCTTCAGAGGAGAAAAACAGAGCACGAGAAACGCCGAGAGATTCACGCGTCAGGTGGCAACGACGGCGGAGGTTGGAGCACAGGACGAACCTGGGGTGACGGTACCCCTGAACCTGAAGTGGACCCTGAGGACGTCAGCCTGATGAGTAGCGGTGCCTGCGGGGCGTTCGTCCACGGCTTAGAGGACGAGTTCCTAGAGGTGCGTTCTGCAGCAGTGGATTCGCTCTGTGAATTGGCCTATCAGAATTCTCCTTTCGCTGTTCTCTCGTTAGACTTCTTGGCTGACATGATGAACGACGAGATTGAGAGCGTGCGGCTGAGTGCCATTAACAGTCTGCGTAAAATCAGCGAGCACATTCAGCTGCGTGAAGATCAGCTGGAGACACTGCTCGGGGTACTGGAGGATTTCTCAGGGGACACTAGAGAGGCTGTTCGGGAGCTGTTATGCCACTGTGTGTTCGCCACCAGAGCGTGTCTGCACGCCGCTATTCACGCCTTATTGGGCAACTTATCAAAATACCCTCAGGACAGATCGTCTATATGGAGGTAAAGAGCGCTCTTCATTTTTAGGAGCGAATTAAATTTTGTTTGTTCGTTTGTGTGGAAACGAGCAATGGCGGCAGCACAAATGGGATATAAGAGAGAGGACTGGAGAGAGAGAGAGACGCGAGACCCTTGTCTCCCCAGACTCCTCTCGTCTTTTCCCAACCCCGCTTCTGCCTTTGTTTTTCGTTCCGTTGCTTGAGTGGGGTAAATGCCTTTGTTTGCAAATGGTACCGCAGGTCTTGAGAAAACTGCAAGAAGATGAAAATACCATCAATTTTTTTTACTTAGAGGGTACCATTTTCCCGGATTTTTTGTTGTAAAAAATATCAGTTATGTTCCAAACAACTAAAAGCGTTTACAAGCATTGGATAACCAGGATAAGAATGAATTTTCATTATCTAAAAGTCTGTCAATTTTTCAACCAATACCTCACAAACGTGGCTCTATTTCTCGTAATAACCCATCATTTGATTCTTATAGTGCAACTTTTTTATCTAATCAGATTTCCACACCTGATCCCAGAACTCAAATGTGTTTGCAATGGGTTTGTGTTTTTTTTTGTCTTTTTTTTTGAACTCTTTCTTAAACTCTCAGGTGTGCCAAGTTTCTGGGTGAAAAGCACCAACACCTGGCTTCTTCCCTTGTACCCGAGCTTCTGTCGACTCACCCATTTTTTGCCACTCCTGAGCCGTCCATTGATGACCCGGCGTACGTCGCCATTTTAATTCTCGTGTTTAATGCCACGGCCAAGAGTCCCACCATGCTGGCCATGTTCCCGGATCACACCAATCGACATTACGCGTACTTACGGGACAGCCAACCCGACCTCGTCCCGCATCTTGATATCGAGAAAGGCGTTATAGAATTGGATCATAAAAAGACTGAAGAAGAAGGTAAGGAAAGGGTATAACCAAGAGAGGATATAGAGTAAGAGAGCAAATTCTCACTACAGGCCTCATTCCTAATTCGTCAAGTTATGTTTGGATCACTCCAGGTTAAGGAAGTCTCAGGAGGCGGACGCGGATATTTTGGTCACGTGGACAGCCCAATCGACTTTACACGCATTTTATCCTCCAGGAAAACGTCCACGCACGTGCGTGGTAGCATTATTCGCGGAAGAACTGGGTACCATGTCTAAAATAACTTGAAAGGGATTACCTTGGGAATGAGGCGTTTATGGGAGATTCACTCTCTTAACCTTCGTGTTCTCTTGGCGTAACCTTAAACTTGGTTCAGCAGTATTACTCCAAGCGATTGGCTTTAAAAATCTCGTGACTGTTTCTCATTCAATCGGAGGTAAAATCAAAACCAATCTCCAATCGCTCTTACACGTTTTCCCCCGCTTGGCGCCAGCTACATTTATTTGGTTCAAGTTTTGATTTGTTCCGGTGGATTGTGTGTGTTCCGTGTGTTGATTGGTCAAAGTAATTACTTTGGTCTGGGTTTCCTGTCGGCGACACTCGATTATAAACTGCTCTTAATTTTTGAAATAATTAATTTTTGTTTAGTTTTTATGTGCTCACTGCATTGTCTGTCTCCTTTGTGACTGGTCAGAGTAATCACTTTGGTGTTGGTTTTTTGTAGACAGTCACTTGGAAACCGCGCTCGCATCAGAATGTCTTTTATTTATTTTTGTTTGTTTTCGTCTTTCCTTCCCTTATTTCTTTTTGTTTCTTCCTTTTTTAAACATAGAGTGCCAAATCCCCCTTTTTATATTATATTTATACATCTATTTATTTATTTTTTTTTTTTCAGGGTCACAAAGTGCAAAGAGCTTTTTTGAAAGCATCCAAATGAGAGTTCAATGTGTGAAGTCACGAAGCCCATCAAACGCACAGCAAGCTCTAAAAACAGCTATCCAAGACCTGCGGCATGTCAAGAGCATTGATTCGCATCTTTGCGCCAACGCAGAATGTCTTTCGCTCTACCTTCAATGCAAGCTGATGATTCTTCAGGCTCAAAACGACAAGATATGGACCATTCCAGCGGCCCTTTGCACCCATCAAGGCTCTGGTTTGAAATCTCTTGTCGAGAATATCCTCTCGACCTCCTACCGAGTAGAACATACCTTCACCGGCCTGAGCTCGCAGCAAACATTTTTACTTCGACAGCTGAGGCTCATTGCGCATGCGTTACAGATCCTCGTTTCGCAGAGATACAGCCGCGCTAACGACAAAAACTTGAATTCCATGCTTCAAGTGTGGGAATCGTTTTTGACCAGAATAAAAACCTTTTCCCACTTCATAAACACGGAGAACATCAACACGGATGCATTCTGTGCCGAAGTGGTTTCGTTTCCCAGTTTCTTTGAGTCGAACATTACTAATCCTTCGGGTGTTGTAGATTTCGTTCAGTCCATCATGCTTTCCCATGAAGTTCCATCATTGGAGTTGACAGGCAGTCTGCGTCAGGCTTGCGCAGTCCTGAATGAGCCTCGTGGAGGTTCGGATAATCCCCTGTGTTTCTCTGCTGGTCTTACGCTGGGTATCAATGTTGAAGCTGTATTGGAGAACGTGGCAGATGCGACCAATGTCCGAGTGCAGGTGAGTGTGTTAGAGACGTTGTTACGTTAGACATTTTTCGCGCAACTTGCCTCACAATAAGGGAATTTCGTTGGGACACTTATTACAAGGGAAGTCTGGATACGAGCCAAGTGGTCCGTCAGACCGGTGCTTATTTCCGTTTTTTGCAGCATGAAAAGACTAGGAGTATTTCTACTCCATGCTAATCCATCACAGTGCTACCCCCAGAATTAAATTCGCCGGTACCCATTTATACACCTGGGTAGAGAGAGGCACTGTGAGAGTAAAGTGTCTTGCCCAAGAACACAACACAATGTCCCCGGCCAGGGCTCGAAAGGTGAGCGCGCTAACCATGAGTCCACTGCGCCTCCACGTTGCTAGGGTAACAACCTTAAAATTAAAGTCTTGTAACGTTTTCGTTCACATCAACAAAGCACAGTACGTAATGCAGAAAACTGGGCTTTACCACTCAGAACTGTTGAAACCGTTTTGAACCGTCTTTCAATTCAAGCTGTAACTCTGGGAGTTTTAAAGAGAGAATATATAAAACAGTTAAAGAGAAACTAGCCATTGATCACAGTGTCCGTCTATGTTGACAGGTTGTGTTTCCTGATATGAGGTGTCGGTGGTTTATTCCCAAGCGAGATGATCTCCATGTTATTTCTCCACTGAAGCAGCGGCTTGTCACCACAGTTATCTTGTCACATTCTGGATGGTCAGGTAAACTGCCACACCCTCCCCCACCCCCCGGGTTCGCTACCCCTTTTTGCTTCAGCCACCCATCCCCTAAAAAAAACCCTATTAAAACAATGCGCCTATTTTCGTCTCTTCCTTCCCCTCTGAACACAACTGGATCCGCCAATGCTTGCCTCATTTTAAGGGGGCTGTAGCAGGACGATGTGCATGCGCAGCCTTGACTGACGAGAAGCTTGAAATCTAAGAACCGTTGATTTTCAAATTCTACCTCCATTCTCGCTTCCCGATAACTTATTCCAGTTTGGTGAATTTGGAAGTGAGGGCACTGGTTGGGAATAAATAACAGATCAGGGTCATGTAATGAGCTTCTGAACAGATTCATTCAGTCGGAGATCATGTTTGATGTTTTTGTTTCGTGTTTTCTTTTATGTTGCAATATTACTTAATATGGTCTTTTTTTCTTCAAACCTATGACCAGTTTGTATGCAATTTTCATCGTAGCGGTGATAGATCGTTGCACCAAAATGTGTTGCGTGACAAACCAAAAAGCATATGTAACAGAGCGGTCAAAATTAATGTGACCTTGTCTCTAATGCATTTTCATTTCTGATTCCAGAACCAGGTTTAATTGAGGTATCCTTGGTGCTCAAGTACACCCCTGATGTGGACGAGGGAGGTGTCCTTCAGCTTGCTTCACATACAGCTAACACCACAGATGAAGACTCACAGGGGATAAAGCAAATCAAAAGCTCTAAAGACAATCTTGTCGACGGCGTTATAAACCTGTGCTCACCAGTTCAAGTATGCATCATGCCCAAGGTCACAAGATAACGATGTTTATCTCATGACGTGGAGGGATAATAGCCAATCAGAAGCCTGGAAGACTTGTCTAGTCGGCGTTATATTACGAACCCTATAAACGCTTTCTTTGCCACATGTGTCACTTCCATCAAAACGTCTGGCTATTCCCAGCCGTAATGAGCTGCGTCCTTCACAGCATCCCGTTTTTCCGGTCAGAATGTACTGCGTCCGCTGTAGCTTTCAGTTTATTCCCGCCATACACGTGCCTCGTTCCACAACTTCAAGCTCTTTCCCGCGGCTATCTCCCGCCATACTTGTGCCGCGCTCCACAACTTTAAGCCTTTTCCCGCCATAAGTACAGCGCCTCCGTCTCATCTCGTGGTTATTTCCCGCCATAGTCGTGCCGCGCTGTACAGTGCAGCTCGTTTAAGAACAAGTACTGAAGTCAGTCACTACACAATGGCAGTTAAACAACTAAGAACTCTTTTATCTGATTTTGTACATGTGATCAAGATTGATAAAATGCCGAATAAATCACTATCCAGTGGATAACGTAGTTTATTTTTGCAACACTTATCCAATGGATAGCGATTAATCTGGGGGAGAGCATTGTCCACCCTTTTGAAGAAATAGCCTTGAACACTAAATGCTATGGGCACTAACTGTTCTGATACCTCAGTACTAAGTTATTCGCACTTGTTTCAAACGTTGTCCACATTAGAAGTACCAGTGTGTTCTGAGAACGATAGGCAAACCAAATGTATAAATTTCACACCTAAATAAATAATCAGGCCATACGAGCAATGTGCCTCTAAAAATGTTGTTTTCTGCTTGAGGACAAGGGCTGGTTTTTCAAGTAAATACAGTTGAACAATACATTTTTCACACCATGTCGTGATAAGGCGAGGTAAAAATATAACGAATTTGACTCGTAATTGCTAAATTAACACATGAAAATGAGTCGAAACGAAAATATTACACCCTGGATTGTACTCCACTCGGCCCAATTACTATTACTAATCTAAAACCTGATTCAGAGAATGAATCTCGAAACTGTGTAATCCCTTGCTAAAAATAACAGCGACTGGTAAGCAATTCCTATTTCATACTTCGCACGTTTGCCTTGAAGTGGCTCGAACAAAATACAAAAGGCATCTATAAAATTTAACCCGCTGCTGAAAGAAACAAAGTACCAGTTTTGTTAACAGGCAATTTACTTGGTTCAGACAAGGATTCAGTTTTTATCCAGTTTCGTTATTTTAAGCTGAATGAATCTAGATGCCCTTTGAAGTGTTGATCAAGACGGAGGCTTGATCGTCTTTTCATTTGTATCGACCAGAAGGTTGGCAAATTGTGTTATCAGCCTAAAAGCTGGAAACTCCTTGGGAAACACTTTTCCCACAAGTATTTGTTACTTCCGTACCGCCATGTGTGTTTGACGAGAACTGACGCAGAAAGTACACTGGAGCAGACGAGACGGAACTTAAGGCAAACACGTTTGTTCATATACAGCCAATGTTCACGGGTCGTGTTTGTTTCTGCCTGTTACGTCCACGAGTGATACCAGATGTACACGTGTCTCTTGAGCAGGTTGATGCACATGTAAGCAAAAGACTGATCGTGTGGCGTAAGTGAAGGGTAAATCGGTGAACCATCTTCATCCTAACACAAAAAGAAATGAACCCTTCAGGTCAGAAGACTACTTCAGTGTAATGTGTAAGCGAGGGGGG